CCTTTAAGAAGTAAACCTTTTGAGATAATCATAATTCACATGCAGTTATAAGAAGTAATAGAAGCCCAGGTGTGGTGGCTTGTGCCTGTAGCACCAGCTCCTCGGGGAGGCTGAGGCAGGAGAATCGCCTGAGCCCAAGAGCTTGAGTTCAGCCTGGGCCGCACAGGGAAACCCTGTAAAACAGTAGAAGGAAAGACTAGCCATACACTGTACGCCTTTCGCTCGCTTCCCCAGTGATGAACATCTTGCAGAACTATAGTACTTTCTCAGCCAGGATATTGACATTGAAACAGGATCCAGAACATCTGTATCACTACGGAGATCCCTCTTGTTACCTTTTTATAGCCACGTCTTCTCTGCACCTCGAATTCTTCCTTAACCCCGGCTACCACTGTCAGTTCTCCATTTCCGGAACTTTGTCTTTCAAGAATCTTGTCTAAAAGGAATCCTACAGCATGTAACCTCTTGGGATTCACTTTTCTCATTCATAATCCACTGAGGGCCATCCAGGTTGTCCTGAGAATTAGCAGTCTGTTCTTTTTTTGAGAGGGAGTTTTGCTCTTGTTGCCCAGGCTGGAGTGCAGTGGCACAATCTCAGCTCACTGCAGCCTCCACCTCCTGGGTTCAAGCAGTTCTCCCTCAGCCTCCCAAGTAGCTGGGATGATAGACATACAGTACCACACCCAGCTAATTTTGTCTAGTTAGTAGAAACGGGATTTCTCCATGTTGGTCAGGCTAGTCTTGAACTCCCGACCTCAGGTGATCTGCCCGCCTCGGCCTCCCAAAGTGCTGGGATTACAGGCGTGAGCCACCACACCCTGCCAGTCTGTCCCTTTTTATTGGTGGGTGGTTTTATCTGGAATGGATGCACCACAGTTTAGTTAACCAATTGCCCGTTGAAGGACACGGGGGTCATTTCCAGTTTGTGGCTACTTTGATAAACATTTGTGTATAGGTTTTTCTGTGAACATGAGTTTGATTTGTTTGGGTAAGTGCCCAGGAGTACCACTGCTGGGTGATGCAGTAGTTGTATGTTGAGTTTTATAGAAAACTGCCAAACTGTTCTCCAAAGCGGCCGTGTCTTTTTATGTTCCCATCAGCAACGTACGAGTGATCTAGTTTCCCCCAGCCAGCATTTGCTGTTGTCACTGTTTTTTATTTTAGCCATTCTGATAGTTGTGTGATGATGGCTCGTTGTGGTTTGAATTCGCATTTCCCTAATAGCTAACAATTTCAAACATATTTTCATGTGTTTGTCGGCCACTCATATATCCTCTTCAGTGAAATGTCTCTTTGTGTCTTTTGCCCATTTTCTAATTGAATTATTTAGTCTCTTACTGTTGTGTTTCAAGAGTTCTTTGCATATTCTAGATGTCAGTCCTTTCCCAGATGTGCGATTTGGAGTTGTTTTCTCTCATTCTGTAACTTTTCTTTGCAGCTTCTTAACAGGGCCTTTGGCACAGCAAACATTGGAAATTTTTGTCAGGTTTTTGGTGTCAAGTCTTCGAACTCTTTGCCTGGTCCCAGATCCTAGATCTTTGCCTGGTGTAATATTGGGGTTCAGGGATTCAGACTTTTTCCTCATATGTTTTTATTTTATTTTTTATTTTTTTGAGACGGAGTTTCGCTCTTGTTACCCAGGCTGGAGTGCAATGGCGCAATCTCGGCTCACTGCAACCTCCGCCTCCTGGGTTCAGGCAATTCTCCTGCCTCAGCCTCCTGAGTAGTTGGGATTACAGGCACGCTCCACCATGCCCAGCTAATTTTTTGTATTTTTAGTAGAGACGGGGTTTCACCATGTTGACCGGGATGGTCTCGATCTCTTGACCTCGTGATCCACCCGCCTCGGCCTCCCAAAGTGCTGGGATTACAGGCGTGAGCCACTGCGCCCGGCCTGTTTTTTATCTTAAAGTTTTATAGATTATATTTTAATCCATAGTCCATTTCGAGTTAATTTTTGTTTAAGATATGAGATTAGGTCAAAGTTTTGTTTGTTTTTTGGCTTGTGGATGTCCACTTACCCAGTGCCAAATGGTGCAAGGCTCTCTACTCTATTAAATTGCTTTTGTACCTTTGTCAAAGATTGCTCGGGCATATGGGTATATTCATATGGATCTATTTTTGGATTCTCTGTTCTGTTCACTTGATCTGTGTCCCTCTGTCAGTATTGCACTGTCTAGATTACTGTAGGTGTATAAAAAGATTTGACGCCTACGCAGTGGCTCACGCCTGTAATCCCAACACATTGGGAGGCTGGGGTGGGAGGATCACCTGAGGTCAGGAGTTCAAGATCAGCCTGGCCAACATGATGAAACTCCGTCCCTACTAAAAATACCAAAATTGGCTGGGCATGCTGGTGCACGCCTGGGATCCCAGCTACTTGGGAGGGTGAGGCAAGAGAATCACTTGAATCCAGGAGACAGAGGTTTCAGTGAGCCAAGATCATGCCATTATACTCCAGCCTGGGCGACAGACTGAGACTCCATTTAAAAAAAAAAGCCTTGAAATTGAGTGGACTGGTTAGTTCTGTCTTTATTCTTTTTTTTGAAAATGCTTGAGCTATTGTAGTTCCTTTGTCTTTCCATATAAATTTTAGGATAATCTTGTCTATACAGAAAAGTTGGCTGGGATTTTGGTAGGATTTGCATTAAACATGCGTATCTATTAGGGAAAATTCATGTCTTTTACTATGTCGAGTCTTCCAGTCCATGGACACAGTGTGTCTTCCCGTTTATTTAGATTTCCTTTGATTTCTTTCATCTGAATTGTTCAGTTTTCCATTTCCAAGTCTTATACGTATTTTGTTAGATTTACAACTAAGCATTGTCTTCTACTGAACAATTGTAAACGGCATTGTGTTTTTAATTTCAGTGTCCATGTGTAATATTGGGGTTCAGGATTCAGGGTGCCCTCAGCTCCCCTGAGAGGACGTTTCTCCAGGTTCCTGGTCTCCTGGTCTCCTGCCCTCTTAAGAATGAGAGACCGGACCACGGCGCAGTGCGCAGTAAATGCCGGACTCAAAAGTGTTTGTAGAAAGTGATTTATTTAAAGAGAGAGAAACAGAAGAAGGAACAGCTAACGCTCACACTGAGTGAGAGAATCCAGAAAGATGGAATCCAGCAGAGGAAAGCGGCTTCCACACTGCGTGGAAGGGAACAGAGAGAGATGGAGGTTAGGAGGGAAGACAGGCTTCCACGAAAGAGTGTGGAAGGGGACTGCAGAGGGAAATCCAGGAGAGAGAAAGACGGCTTCCACGAAGGGAGTGTTCATGTAAGGGGACCCAAACATGGAGGCCGAAGGGGTGTGGAAGAAGGGGACTTTTAACCTGGGAGGAAGCCCCGCCTTCTCTAAGACCCCGGGCCAATGAAAAGTCTTCTGCTGGAGTGATGGACTTAGTTTAAGTGAAATTTAAACATAAACAGTTAAATCTGCTGATGGAGAGAGATGGGAGGGGGGCATGGCACTGGCAAATTCTTGCCCTTTAAACGACGCCCCCTTGTGGACCCAGAAAGAGAACACATTCCCTCATGTGTTCATTGCTTGTACATAGAAATAGAGTTGATTTTTATATGCTCATCTTGTGTACTACAACCTTGCTGAACTCACTAGTTGTATGAGTTTTACTTTTTAAAGTCCCAATTCTTGAACACTTTCTATGTGCCACTTTCTTGTAGTTGTCCAAGCCAGTAAGTGGTGGAACTAGGATCTTGATAGATACATCATTTATCCACTGCATTAGTTCATTTCACAAATTCTTCAGCAGAGCGTATTTGAACCACATGCATCTAGACACAAGGCCCTGCCCTCCTGAGCCCATAGCCTGAAATGAGTAGAATTAATACAAGTGATGGTGTAGCCATGGTAGTTCAACTAAATGCGTTAACTGATGCAACTTAACACATTTACGAGTTCATTCTGGAAGTGGGTGAGAAGGAAGGGCACCTTAGCCAGTCGGGAGTGCGGAGAGGTGTCCAGGGAGGGCTTCCTAAAGAAACGTTGTTGCAGGGCCTCATGGCTCACACCTGTAATCCTAGTGCTTTGGGAGGCCAGGATGGGAGGATCACTTGAACCCAGCAATTTGAGAGCAGCCTGGGCAACACAGCGAGACCCTGTCTGTAGAGAGAAGAAGGAAAGGAAAGGAGGAGAAAGAACCCATGCTAATTTTCCCAAGCTTGATTCTTAGGAAGTCTGACATTCAGAGATGGCTGTGATAAAAGCTGTAGGATGAGAATTCTAAATGTTGCTTGTCAAAGAACCCAAGAACTCCTGGCCAAAGCCGAATGTAGCTCTCCACTGGTCTCTGCATCCTCCTCACTTCCTTCACCTGCTGCTGTCTCAGCCCTGCCCCTTCCACCTGGCCCCTGGCCCCCGGACTCTGGCCTCTCTGAGTGACCAGCGCAGTCCTAAGTCGACCTGTCTGCCTGCTGGCTGCTGCTGGGTGCTGCTGGCACTGGTCCCCCTGCACATTCTCCATGCCTTCCTTTCCATGGCACCAGTTTCTGCCTCTCCTTTGGGTTTCTTTCCCTTTTCCTCCTCACATGCTGGGTTTTGGAGTCATTTGAGATGGAAGGTGGGCCATTTGAGTAGCTGTCGGGTCAGGCCCCCTTACTGCCAGTCCATTTGGGAAAAATCTTCCATGTCACTAAGCTCTTGCAACCATAGCTACAAAAGTTGCTTGTTTGTTGGGAACTGAAATCTGCCAGTATAGAAATCTGCCCTCAGATGGATTTCCAGGTAAAGACAGACCCCTGTTACCATCGAGCAGGGAAGGAGTGGCCCCTCCCTGGCACTGCTGTGTCCACTGATGGCATGCAGCATTCAGGGCTACTCTGTCAGGTGGCATAGCTCTCCCTTTGCACGGGAGTTGGTGTCCCACAGCCAGCACTGTGCCTGCCTGCGCTTCCTTCCCAGCCCTGTGGCCATGTGCTGAGTGCACCAGCGCCCGTTCTACCTTTGGACTGAGGAGGCGTGTTCCTCTTCCCATGTCTCCCTGACTGTAGGAGAGATCTCTCGTCTTTGAGTCGGCGTGGAAGAAGGAGAAGGACATTGTTTCCAAGGAGATAGAGAAGCTCCGCATGTCCGTCCAGACCCTGTGCAAGAGCGCACTTCCCCTGGGGAAGATCATGGACTATATCCAGGAAGACTCGGACGCCATGCAGAATGAGCTGCAGCTGTGGCGCGCCGAGAACAGGCAGCACGCGGAGGCCCTGCAGCAGGAGCAGAGGTGGGGGGGTGTTGGAGGGGGTAGAAATGGGGAGGGGGCCTGCAGCAGGAGCAGAGGTGGGGGGGTGTTGGAGGGGGTAGAATGGGGAGGGGGCCTGCAGCAGGAGCAGAGGTGGGGGATGTTGGAGGGGGGTAGTAATGGGGAAGGGGCCCTGCAGCAGGAGCAGAGGTGGGGGGGTGTTGGAGGGGGCTAGTAATGGGGAAGGGGCCCTGCAGCAGGAGCAGAGGGGGGGTCATGGGGAGGGGGCCTGCAGCGGGAGCCGATGTGGTGGGTATTGAAGGGGGGGTCATTGGGAGGGGGCCTGCAGCAGGAGCCGATGTGGGGGATATTGGAGGGGGGTAGTAATGGGGAAGGGGCCCTGCAGCAGGAGCAGAGGTGGGGGTAGTAGAGGGGGGGGTCATTGGGAGGGGGCCTGCAGTAGGAGCAGACATGGGGGGTATTGGAGGGGGGTAGTCATTGGGAGGGGGCCCTGCAGCAGGAGCAGAGGTGGGAGGGTTGCAGAATGGGGGAGTAATGGGGAGGAGGCCCTGCAGCAGGAGCAGAGGTGGGGGGGTAGCAGAGGGGGTAGTCATGGGGAGGGGGCCTGTAGCAGGAGCAGATGTGGGGGTTATTGGAGGGGGGTAGTCATGGGGAGGGGGCCCTGCAGCAGGAGATTTGGGCAGTAGCAGAGTGGGGTCCCCAAAGTGGATGGCGACTTTGCTGCATACGTCCTTGTCCCAGAGGCTGTTCTGTATATAATTTAAGGACTTCAAGCTTATCATTGAAGAAATATTAGCTGCTACTTTTATAAATCTCATGTTTGACTTCACTTTTGGTTGTGGCAGGGGTCTTGGAAATAAGATATACATTTTATCCTTTTCTTTGGATGAAATGAATAATTCACTTTCGTTGTCTTTCAATGTCTGAATTAAGAAACCAACACACGCAGAGATGAGTGACGAGCCACTGGTTTTGTTCTCCCTCAGCATCACAGACTGTGCCGTGGAGCCCTTAAAGGCTGAGCTGGCGGAGCTGGAGCAGCTGATCAAAGACCAGCAAGACAAGATCTGCGCGGTGAAGGCCAACGTCCTCAGGAATGAGGAAAAAATCCAGAAAATGGTGTATAGTATCAATTCGACCTCGCGAAGGTGAACACTCAAACGTTAGGGATGAAAAGTCACCCCAGTTTAAAAGCAAAAAGGAAGACAGAAAATCGTGACTCTTGAAGTTCCAGTTTGCTGAGGAAATGAACAGTTTACAATGTTACTATCCAACTACTTTTCAGAGCTTTAAAACTGTAAGCACGTTAAGTGCATTAAATAAAAACATATTCTCTTACCTCCTTCCAGATGAAATACTGGCTAGTTATAAACAGCGCTTCCAAACACCTCTGTGAAAAGCTTTTCTGAAAGCCTGTTCCTTGTGTTTCTGCTGCATCCTGTTTAGCTCTGTACCAGAACGCTCTAGCAGGTAAGTGGTGTTGGCATACCAAGGGAACAGTGGTCCTTTATTTTGGTTTAGTGGAAAGACTTTCAGAGGTCACTGCCGAATGAAGGATGACTGTATACTTTCCGATAGGCGCTTTATAAGTAGAATGAGGCCTGAAAATGAATGCATTATATTTTTAGTTAATTTCCATTTGAAAGGGCTAATCTCAGCCTGTCTCCATGTAAGGTACAAATCAACTGGATGGCTTTTGTTTTTTTGACCTCTCTGTAATTGCATGTACTTCTCTATGTAATTTTCTTCTTGATCTCTATTATCTTTTGCTTGTGTTTCTAGTCCTTAAAGTTCATCAATTTACAAAGGAGATTTCAGTGTGGCTGTCATGGACATTATCTGGAAATTGTCATGGGCCACATCCTGGCATTTTACCCTGGTGGTCCTCTGACAGGCCAGCACAGCTCCTCTGGAGCCCTTGTCCTCCTTAAGAGGGGCTTGCTCTGGTAGGCGTTGGCATCATGCCTTTTCCTTTGCGTCTGTGCACGCCCAAGAGACGGGTAGCTTAGAAAAACTACATAAGGAAGACGTGAAAGGATGCACTGATTTACAACATTTTTTTGATGTTAGCCATTTTTTTTGGAAATTGTTTTTTAAATCAAAGATTTTTTAAAAACACGTAGTTTTTGACTTACAGATACTGTTGTAAATACTCAGCAGAGTCTTAAGTTACTGTATAAAGCATTTCACTGTGTTTGAAGACATACAGATCTTAAGGTCTGGATCCTAATACTTTTATTTCTTGATAGTGGAGTGCCATTTAAATTGTGAGAGTTGCTTGGTTTGTTTCTTTTTTATTGAGACAGAGTCTCATTCTGTTGCTCAGGCTGGAGTGCAGTGGCACCATCTCGGCTCACCGCAACCTCCGCCTCCCGGGTTCAAGCAATTCTCCTGCCTCAGCCTCTTGAGTAGCTGGGACTACAGGCGTGTGCCACCACACCCGGCTAATTTTTGTATTTTTAGTAGAGACGGGGTTTCACCATGTTGGCCAGGATGGTCTCGACCTCCAGACCTTGTGATCCACCCGCCTCGGCCTCCCACAGTGCTGGGATTACAGGCGTGGCCACCACACCCGGCCAGGTTTTGCTTCTTTAAGGATTAGCACAAATGGCACAGTTTGGTTTTTCTTCGTACAGTTTCCAAAATGAATTCCGTACTAAGGAAGTTTTGTGATTTTCTAAGCTGAGTATGTTCAGAAAGAGCAGATTATTAAGATGTGCCCTTCTGAAATGTTCGTTTTCTTCTCCTTCCTACAGTGCACCATAAAATTCTGTTTGATCGGATCATATTACATACATTTTGGGGGAGCAGAGGGACATTAGTTAGGTCATCCTTCATGTATTTATAATCTCTTTTCTACTGAATCCAATGACTTAGCTGTGACCGAGTGGCCCCTGCCTCACTTCAAGTTAAGATGTCCGCCTTTTATGAATTTGTATATATAAATAGAATTTGGGGGTTGCAAAGCATTCATTGTATGTAAGTAAAATTTTTTATGAAGTCTGTTAAATTGTATCATAAAGTTTATTTTTCTTTTGTACATAAATCATTTTAAAAATCACATCTTTTTCCCATAAGTGCATGGACTGTGCAGTTCAGTTCACACATGGGCAAATCAGGCATTTGGGATTTTTATTTTCAAACGTGTGTACTTGGTGTTTCTTGTGAAGAAAGTGCAGGGAAATACACTTGTCATTCATATTGTGACACCATCTCTTTTCAGTACGAATTGAAGTCTTACAAGACAGATAAGCATTTGACAGAGATTGTAAGGCGATTTGTGAAGCTTTAGAAGGTCTCTACCTGTGATTGTTACTGCATCTTATCATAGACACTAGATCCTGATCTTATTTAATTTGAGAAATTTAATTTTTCTCTTATTTTGAGAAAATGCACAAATGGGATTATTTGTCTATACTTTGGTTTATAAGTTTTCAGGAAGTACTGGAGCCATACTTCAGGAATTTGAATTTAAAAATTGAGCTGATGGTAATTTATATTCAAAGGAAATGCATAATAAACCTTTGGAAGAAATAGTTCAAGACCGAAATGCAGCTTTCTACTTTTATATTCATCCTTACTTTTCTTTTTAATAATCAACTTTAAAAAACTGAAATCTATCAAGCAAAATGCTGTCATTTGGTGACACAAAGTGCTACTTAGGATTTGGGTGATGTGGAATTGTATTCAGTGTATTCACAAGTGCCGCTGGACTATTCTGGCACTGCTCTTCTGAGCTGCCCTGGACTGAAGGGTGTATCTTCTGTTGGTCGATGTGCCCCGTGTCATGGCACATGAATAAGAGAAAAAGTGGCCAGGGCCTTTGACCAGCTTTTCGATCAGTAGCCAATATGTGAGGCAGCAGCAAGCAGGACCAGCAGTCTGTTTGGGCTTCCGTAGGAATCCGCTTCAGAAGGAGGCCACGTCCCAGCATGTCACTGCTCAGCATGTCACCATCGGAAGACACTGAACACCCAGGCCTGGACTTGGCTCCCTACTCTGGGCTCTTTCCACACCCAAAAGTGCAGAGAGTAAATAACCTTGTTCGTGGCACCTCTGAGGAGACCGCTGTGGGCTCTTCTGAGGGGCTCTCCAGCAAAGACGAATGTAGCAAAGCAGAAGTGAGAAATGTAAGTCAAGCATGAGCCAGCCTGAGTCGGAGGGAAGGAATAGCCGTTCTCAGCTATCGCAAATGCAACTGCTTGCGGCATCTGGGCTCCGAGTCTAACTCTAGCCTATGAGACACTTTATTAATAAAAACGCTTTCTATTTTTCTAACAGGTGTTTGGATAAGTGTGGTTTATGCTTTACATTGGGGCATTAGTGAAGCTCCCTAAAAAGAACCCCTTTTTGCTTATTATGTATATTTTCATAAAGGGAGATTGAGACGGACTTTGGTTTCTTTTAAATTCAGCAAGAGAAAAGAAATTTAAATGACTTTTAAGGCTATAAAATTTGGCGGCTCATGCCTATAATCGCAGGACTTTGGGAAGCCAAGGCAGGCAGATCATCCGAGATCAGGAGTTCGAGACCAGCCTGGCCAACATGGTGAAACCCCTATCTCAGCTAAAAATACAAAAAAATTAGCCAGGTATGGTGACACATGCCTGTAATTTCAGCTACTTGGGAGGCTGAGGCAGGAGAATTGCTTGAACCAGGGAGGTAGAGGTTGCAGTGAGCCGAGACTGCGCCACTGCACTCCAGACTGGGTGAAAGAGTGAGAATGTCTCAAAAAAAAAAAAATTATGAAATTTGTTTTGTCCAGGCGTGGTGGCTCATGCCTGTAATCCCAGCACTTTGGGAGCCCAAGATGAAGATGTGAGAATTGCTTGAGCCCAGGAGTTCATGGCCAGCCCTGGCAACAGAGTGAGACACCATTAAAACAAACAGAAATGCCGGGCATGTTGGCATGTGCCTGTGGTCCTAGTTACTCAGGGGGCTGAGATGGGAAGCTCACTTGAGCCTAGGAGGCCAAGGCTGCAGTGAGTCATGGTCATGCTGCTGCATTCCAGCCTCGGTGACAGAGCAAGACCTGTTCTGAAGTAATAATACATAAAACTTTAAAAATCCGTATATAGAGCTGAGTTCCGAACTGGTTATCAGTAAACCAAGCAAATTGGTCTTTCTGGTAAGAAAATGGAGTTCAGACGAAAGTTAAAGTGCACGTATTCCAAGAAGGTTGTGCTCTGGTCAGCCAGGGCAGAATCACGTCCTTGTAAATGAACGCAGTCAAACGCGTGTGTTTAGATTGGCTGGTGTGCGGTTTTGGCGAAGGCACCATGGAAACCTCTGGGTATCTTCTGAGGAAGCTGGGCAGCCAGAGCCATGTGATTCGAGGCGGGGCTGGCCCTGCCCCACTGTGCACACGGATGGCAGGGTCTAATTTATGTTCTCCAGCAGCCAGGCATGACACCCTGCAGATAGCACTGTGTGTACGTTTTTTAAGGAAAATTATCCTTACTGTCAATCATGTATCAGTATCATCCTTAGTCATGCCAGGGATTCATGTTCGGACAACTAATTCATATTTCTAAAGTATTCATTTCCTCTTATTTAAAGGGCTTTTAACGGAAGAGGTAATACATTAACATGGATCCACAGTCACAGTTAGCTGAAAGGGTCCTCACTGGGAGTCCCTCCCGCGGTCCCTGTCTGCCTTGCTGCTTGCTCCTGCAGGCGCCATTTGCATTAGACTCTTGTACAAGCAGATGTGAATATTTACTTTTATACCCCTACAACACACAGTTTCACAAAAGGTCATGATCTATACCCTGTTCTGAGCCCTGGCTTTTCAGTTTTATCCAATCGATGGGGACCTCAGCGTGTCCACCCAAGACACTGTCCTCACTCCTCTCCAGGCTGCCTGGATCTCCCCCACGCAGCTGCCTGGCTTTTCCTGCTGGCTCCCTGGTGCTCAGTCCTGTGGTTTCTAGTCTTCTGCCATTAAAAGCAATGCCACCATGCGTTGTGAAAAGCTTTGTTCTCCCATCATCTCTCTTTTTTTGAGACGGCGTCTTACTCTGTCTCCAGGCTGGAGTGCAGTGGCACGATTTCAGCTCACTGCAACCTCCACCTCCCAGATTCAAGTGATTCCCCTGCCTTAGCCTCCCAAGTAGCTGGGACTACAGGTGCATGCCACCATGCTTATGCCCAGCTAATTTTTTTTCCTTTGTATCTTAGTAGAGATGGGGTTTCACCAGTTGGCCAGGATGGTCTTGACCTCCTGACCTCGTGATCCACCCACCTTGGCCTCCCAAAGTGCTGGGACTACAGGTGTGAGCCACCACGCCCAGCCCTTCCTTGTCTTACATGTGGATAGATACCCAGAATCGAGACTGCGGCATCAGAGCACACGTCTCTGTCACAGTACTGGTGGGCGTTGCCAGATGCTGTCTGTGGATGGTTCCATGTCGTTCCTGCACCAGGAAATGTGGAAGTGCCTCTTCCCCGCAGCCTCCCAGCAGCGGCTGGCCACATGAGATTTCCACTACCCGGGGCAGACAGTGGGTCTCAGTGTGGTTTTAATCTGCACTCTGACACGTTGACCGAGGCGCAGCCTCTCTTGATGTGTGTAAGGGCCATTTGCTTGTTTGCTTTTCTGTTCTGTTCAGCTCATTGCCCTTTATTCTGTGGGACTCCTGGTTTTTCCCTCCTGGATTTCCAGAAGTGCTTCCTGGTTGGAGTTCATATTATTTTCCAGTTTGCCTTTTGCCTGTGCTATGGCTTCCCCCAGGGCGATGCTGGACAGATACCAAGGGCCGCCCTTGTGATTTTACTGCCAGGAGCAATGGCGACGGCTGTTTTCTCACATTAAAGACATACTCTTGTGTTCCTGGTCACAGAGAGCCTCTAGCAGGAATGGATGTTGAATTATTCTTGTCTGTTAAGGTGACCACATTTTCTCTCCCTGGCTTAGTAATGTGCTATTCTACATTACCCAATATGAAATTATCCTGCCAGGCACGGTGGTTCACGCCTGCAATCCCAGCACTTTGGGAAGCCAAGGCAGGTGGATTGCCTGAGTTTGTGAGTTCGAGACCAGCCTGACCAACATGGAGAAACCTCGTCTCTACTAAAAATACAAAATTAGCTGTGCGTGGTGGTGCATGCCTGCAGTCCCAGCTACTCGGGAGGCTGAGGCAGGAGAATCACTTGAACCTGGGAGGTGGAGGTTGTGGTGAGCCAAGATCACACCACTGCACTCCAGCCTGGGCAACAAGAGCGAAACTCTGTCTCAAAAAAAAAAAAGAAAAGAAAAGAAAATATCTTTGGTTCACAGATGAAGTCCCACATGGTCAGGCAGGCGGTTCCTCTGTCGTGCTGAGTGGTTCTGCCACACGCATGAGTCCACTGTCTTACTGCCCAGTGCTTGTTGGCTGGCAGTGGGGTTGGGGGCATACTCTGTTGCTTGATTAACCCCAGCTGTGGGTGGACACTGTGTCCCTGAGTCTTGCCTGTAGCTCTAGAACCAGCTTGCATTCCTGCTTCTCCCCCAGGAGTCGGGGTCTCCTATTCCTTCCCAGCTACAGGGGTTCCCCCAGTGCCCTAAGGCTGACAGGCTTCTCACCTGTCCCTGAACGGTGTCTTCTGTCTCATAGGGGAGAATATTTCAGCAGGAGTTCTGTGCTCTCCAACAATGACTGGTGACAGAGCAAGACTCCATCTCAAAAGAAAAAAAAAAAGAAATTCCAGAGTGGAAATGCTCGAGTTGCTGTCTACCACTTCTGAAGGTGTTTCCTAGGTCTTGACCCAAACTGGCTTGAGAGGTCCTTGACACAGATTGACTTGGAAAGTCTGGCCCAAGCGGTGCCTTGCCCTTCACCCTGGCCTCTGTGTCTTGTTCGTGGGTCTTGCCGCATTGTTTCTGAAGCCCAAACAAGGTTTATTATCAATGGTAAGTGGCAGGTCTGTGTGGGGTTCAAACTTGAACAGGCAGTAGCTGAGTGAGGTAAGAACCACAGTGTGCGCCCTGTGGAGCCCACGGCACGGGCCCTGACCGCCAGGCCTCCCTCCCACCACCGGACTTCTGGGGGTTGTGGCTAGACCCCTCCTCCCGTGCCCCGTTTTGTGGGTGGTGGGCGTAGCTTCAGGCCTTCTTTCACCTTTTGGGCTTCTTTCCTCTCCCCTGCCGAACCTCACCTCTGCAGGGTAGATTTTGCCCCTTCTCCAGGTGGTGTGGAAGAACATGGGTGTGGGGTCAGGACACTGTCAGGTGTGGGCCTGTGATCTGGGGTGTTCCTGTCTCTTCTTTGAGCCTCGGTTGTCCGCCGAGAGGTGGTCTGAGCCCAGGAACACATGTGGCTCATGGGTGCCAGGCGAGCATTGGTATGGGGCACGCTGGTGGCATGTGCTGTCCCTTGCCTTGCCGGTTGGCTGGCAGGGCCTGGGGGCTTCTGCTCAGCTCTGACCCTTCAGGAGCAGCTGCCCATGGCCCTGTCTTAATGGATGGTCTCACATCTAGGCAGAGAAGCTGATGGCTGAAATGTGCCATGAAGACACGGTGATGTTCAGAAATGCCTCTGCCACGGTTGGATAG